GCAGCATTTGAAATGATTTAACTTTTTCAGGAGGAAAAACGTGGCAAGGTGTGCGGAAACGAAAAAATGGTGCACTGTGAGTATGGTGCAAGAGAGCCTGCATCCAAAAGAGAAAAACACTCTATGGTGATGGTGTGAAGAAAAAGTTTTTCGAAGCACTAATGCATACCTTGACAGCAACCATCGCATTAAATCCACAACAGCAAAAGTGATGAAAAGGAAAGCACGACACGGAGCGTACAGCACGGTGGAGCAGAAAGACATGAATCGAGAGAGGAGAGGTGATGGTTCAGGTTCCATATATAATTCACGATCTTCATCCTCATAATCTTCGTCTGCGCCAGCAGTCATTCTTAACCAAGGACGGGAATAAAACTTGATGATGCAAGATGTATAAAAGAGTGAATGAGAGTAAATCATGCAAATCGAAGTGTTCGAAATATAAAATGCCAAACCTGCGAACATGTGAGTGACGACCATGCAGATACACCTCTTCCGCTGAGTTCGATGGGGTAACATAATCGCTGTCAACTCTGCAAAAAGTAAAAGTCGAGATTTGTACATCTTCAACGTGATCAGATTACTTACTCTCCGGTCAATATACGATAAGGAGCCTTAACGCATTTAAGAGCAAAATCAGCACCGGACAGCATATAATACACGACAGAGGAGGCCATGGATCCAAGCCAAGTGGCTATACGAGTGGCCTAAACAGCGATCCCTCAAGTCAAAAACACAGAGCAAAAAAAGAAAAGAGCAACGCACCATGGAAGCTTTGCGGAAATCAGAACCACCGTAAGTTGTTTCACTTGGTACTGTATCAAAACGTACGGTCTTGCGTCGCCTACAAAGCAAATTAGAATAATGCACTCATATATCTGGCTATCTTTACCTTGGCGTAACATCATCATCTTCAGAGTCAGTGTCGAAAGCAGCCAAGTTGCGAGAACGAAGATTATAGAATCTCCTGTCCGGATCACTAAAACGAGCACATATTTTTGAATATTTCCGCTTTACTGAGACCAAAGAATAAAAAACTAATCATCCACTGTTTCTACTAACAAAATAGACCTAACACAGCTAATAAACGCTAATAAAGTGCAAAAATCAACACTGTAGGCACAGAAACTTACTTAGGGTCATTATCGTCATAGTTATGGTTACCGCCATTCCAATCATATTTGGCCGCTGACTCCTGCTGAAATCAACAACTTCATGTACCGTTCCATCTCGTTAATCGGATGTGCTTACCTCAGCTTTTCTCATCAACCTCCACCGAGTTATTTCGGCAGTTTCCTTATTCATTGCTCGGAACTTTTTGATTACAGCCTCTGTATGTGCCTTCCTTCCCTTCTCGGCCAAAAGTTCGTAGTACTTTCGAGTGAGGAGGAGACTTGCCTCGCGGTAGAGTCCAGCGACAAGATCCACTGAATCAAAAAAGTGAAGAGGATTATACCGACAGTTTTGCGAAGGAGAACTAACCTGGCCAACGTAATATGCTGAATATGCCAGAAACCAGCTTGAACATAGCTATTACGAGAATTTCATAGAGTGAGCGGCGACGATAAGGGTGACGGTATCCACCGGCGTGCTCGTATACACAATCCGAAATTGACTCGCTGAGATTACGTGCTGAAGTCCAGACATTTTTTTAATTCAAAATGTATGCAGAAAAAAGGAAAAAACTAGGCAAACTCACTTAGGTAGAATGCTCCCTCAACAATATCATAAAACAGCAATCCCAAAGCTTTCAGTGGCCGTACTGTTACGCTGTAGAATGCCCAAAGCATAGTGTTCAACACCGCATGGAAAGCATCTGATACAGTCTGACCAAGCTGAATGTGCAAAAATTATACCAAAATGGTCCTTGAACATTTTACTGGCCTACCTTGCGCATGAGACTTGGGGCAGCCGCATGTTCCACATATTCTTGATCATGATCACTGGATACACGAGCACTGGATACACGAGGTGCATGGACAAAGTTGTTATTGATGTTAGGGACCTCCCAGGCTGGGGGTTTATCGGGATCATAAGACTGGCTGCAAAAAAATTATTCATTAAAGGCACCGTTCACCCAAATCGAGGTTGATGAGATCTTGATGCTGCATAGTAGAGGGTCTCCTGACTAAGCTATCGCCCAATTAGCAAAAGATGAATCACGAAGCGAGAAAGTTACACAAGGCCACGATGACTCCGCCCATCAACGTGGGTGGTCTGA